GCAAGACACGTGACTTCTTCCTTGCAACCTTTTCCCAACAAACGAAAGGAGGCCCATGTGGCGCTCACCAGACAGAAGACAGTAAGGACTACATCTGTGGGCAGAGGTCATGGGAGCAACTCAACATCAACAGTCAAAATGAGGTCAGGCTGACAGGGATGGAACAGCAACTGCTCATATGAAATTGCAGGTTGAAGTTGAAGAAAATGAAAACAAATCAATGAGAGCCAAAATAAGACCTGGAAGATATATTACTTGAATTCAGAGAACATCTCAAGAACAGATGCATTGGACACTAATATTAGAAGACCTGATCAGCTCTGGGATATGAAATAAAGAAGCAAAAGATCATCACAAAGATGGGACAGAAAGAAAAGATCCAAGCAGATGTCAGAAGAGCCTGTGAAACTTGCTCTTGAATGTAAAGTAGCGAAAGCAAATGGAAGAAATGATGATGTAAAAGATCTGAATAGAAATTACAAAGGGCAGCTTACAAAGATAACGTGGAGAATTATACTGAAACGCAAAAAGACCTGGAGTTAGCCCAAAAGGAAGAAAAATATTCAGTCCATCTAGAGAGGAATGAACTGAAGAAGAAATTCAAGCCTAGAGTTGAAGATTTCTCTAGGCAAAATGCTGAAAGAAGCAGAAACCATCAAAAGAAGATGGAAAGAATTAACAGAGGCACTAATTTTAGAGGTAGCATATGATCAAGAACCACGCCTAAGTCATTAGCAAACAACAACAACCAAAACAAGACTCCATTGGTAGATGGACTACCAATTGAAATGTTTCAACAAGCTGGTGAAAGACTCACCTGTCTGCACCAAAGAAATTTAGCAAACAGTTGCCTGGTCAACTGATAGAGACTCATATTTGTGCCTATTCAAAAGAAATGTGAATAGACACATTTCCTATCAGAGTGTCGAAAGTATCAGATAAGATCATTAACAGCTCATGCAAGTATAATTTTAGTTTCACAGTCATCCCTCATGATGTAATCTAACACAATGTGATCAACTCCATGAAGAGATGATGGTGCTGTTAAGTTCCCTTGAGTCAGTTCCTACTCAGATCTCCCCTGGGTACAACAGAACAAAACATTGCTCTGTCCTGTGCCCTCCTCACAATTGGTCTTAAGTTTGCTCCCATCAATGCAGTCACTTTGTCGATCCATCTTGATGAAGGCCTTCCTCTTGTCCCCTGCCCCTTCACATTTCCAAGCATGACGTACTTCTCCAGGGATTAGTCTCTCTTGACAGCATGTTCAAAGTACACGAGAAGTCTCTCCATCTTTGTCTCTAAGGAGCATTCTAGCTGAATTTATCCCAAGACAGATTTATTTGTTCTTCGGGCAGTCCCTGGAACTTTCAATATTTTTCAAAAGCATGATAATTCAAATGCATCAATTTTTCTTTGGCCTTCCTTATTCAATGTCCATCTTTTACATGGCTATGAAGTCAATGCAATGCCATGGCTTGGATCTATCCTTGCTTTTTCCATGCTATCAAGATGACTTGCACTTCAGATTTACCCAATTCATTGTGTCATGTGATGGGTCTCCTGCTGCTTCCATGATCTTTGAGTGTAGATTTAAACAAGGCAACATCCATGCCAACTTCGCTCTTTTCTCCATCTACCATGGCATATCTATGGGTCCTATTGTGAGGATTTGGATTTTTTTTACATTATGTTGTAATCCATAATGAAGACTGAAATCCTTGATCTTCATCAACAAGAGGCTAGAGTCCCCTTCACTTTCAGAAAGCAAGGTTGTAACATCGGCATATAGAAGATTGTTACTAAGCCTTCATCCAGTCTTGATACGCATTCTTCATAAAATCCAGCTTCTCTTCTGATTTGTTCAGTATACAGATTGAATAAGTGTGGTGATAGCAAACAACCCTGATGCACACCTTTCCTAATTTTAAGCAATGCAGTATGCCATTGTTCAGTACAGGTTCCACATGAGCACAATGTGGTGTTCTGGAATTCCCATTCTTAAGGCTATCCATATTTTGTTATGCTCCACCCAGCTCAACAACTTTGCATAGTCAATAAAACACAAATAAGCATCTTTCTGGCATCCTCTACTTTGAGCCAAGATACATTTTACATCAGCAATGATGTTCCTTGTGCAATGTTATTTTCTGAATCATATCTTAACCTTTAGCTGCTCCCTGTTAAAGTACTCTGCAACAGCTGTTGGATGATCTTGAGCAAAATTTTACTTTTATGTGATATCAGTTACATTGTTCTATAACTTGAGCATTCTATTGGGTTACCTTTCATTGGAACAGGCACGATATGGATCTCTTCCAGTCAGTTGGCAATGTAGCTATTTTCCAAATTTCCTGGCATGGACAAGTGAGTGCTTCCAATGCTTCATCAGCTTGATGAAACAGTTCAGTTGGTATCCTATCAATTCCTGGAGACAGGTTTTTGATTAATGCTTTCACTACAGCTTGGCTTTCTTCCTTAATTACCATTGGATCTTGCTCATATGCTACCTCTTGAAATGGTTGAATGTTGACTAGTCAAAATGTTTGAACGACACTTCTCTGTTAGCCCACTATTTGTCTATCACTTTGTCATACTCTGGTGGCTTGGCTGTTGTTGTGATATTGGAAGATATGTCACTAGTATTTCAATTGTCAGCAGGGTCACCCAAGTCTAAGAACAGACTGTGAAGAAAGAATAAGTGTCCACTAGTGAAGAATTAGCCACTGAAAACCTACCTCCTGGACAGACTGGAGCAGCTATTAGCTATGGTGAAATGCAGCCCCTTGATTAGATCACAATTCTGATGTAATTGGATGAAAGACTCCTGAGGGATGTTGACTGCTCCTTTTTAAGAAAACTCCAGAGGATAACTTATCTTTGCAATTGGATCTGGACCCTGTATCCAGTTCATCAATCTCCTGCCATATATCTGATAGATCCCAGGAGCCATCAGAGGATGACTTTGCATCCACTTGCCTGTCATCTTCCTGCTTAGTCTTTCTGCATCCTAATTTGTAATCTCTGCAGCTACATGTCATGAAATCCCCCAGCTTACCATCTGACCCATGAACTTGAACCTGTCTAGACTTGTCCTCTTCTATAACTGTGTGAGCAATTTTCTTAAAAATATAAATCTCTTGCTGTATACATACACATGTGCACATCACTGGTTTTGTTTCTCTATAAACCCAGACAGACAAAGTCTCTGTGGGATGTATGTAACCCCTTTTAAAAGATGACTATGCATCATGTCACTTTTGCCCCCCATACATATATTTTTTCAGGCCTGGGAGTCATCTCTTTGAAATGTGAACATAAAGGTAGGTTGTACCCTGTCTCTCTTTCTCTCAAAGAATTCACATGTCTGGATGCAGTAGGACATTCATTGCTTTTCTCAAAGATAATGAACCATTTCAGTTTTCATTTGGACAAAATCAGCCACTATACATGTAAAGTGTGCATCTGCCTGCCTATAAAACCAAGAAACGAGTGCCATTTGGGCTGAGTATGACTCAAAGGGAACCTATTTGAGGGTCTGAGGCTGTAAATCCTTTTTTTATTAGGGTTTGAAAAATTGTGTTTCTCTAATTCTTTCTTTCTTTTAAAAAAAATCATTTTATTGGGGGCTCATACAACTCATCACAATTCATCCATCCATCCATTGTGTCAAGCACATTTGTACATTTGTTGCCATCCTCATTCTCAAAACATTTTCTTTCTACTTGAGCCCTTGATATCAGCTCCCCATTT